AATTTATTAAATTACAAAAAAAGGTATTTAATACTAAAAAACCTGTAGAATTAAAACGCCTATGCCTAACAAGATGGTCTTCGCAAGTTCATTTTCAGAAATATATAAATTATACTCAATTGCTATAACAATACCCGTGTCATCAGTTGTATGTGAACGTACATTTTCATTTATGAAACGCGTATAGAGTTATTTAAGAAATAGGTTACTAGACACTAACCATACAAGTTTAAGCATCATATCAATTGAAAAATGAATTAAAGTCACTAGACATTGATAATATATTAAACAAGTATGCAGATGCACACGAGAATCGGAGAATTATTTTAAAGTAGTTGAGTAGTTTTGTTATAGTGCTGTAATCATAAAAAGTTTTAAAATATATCATTAATTAGTTCATATCAATTGTTTTTTTTTTTATTTATTCTTTTTATTGAAATCTCATTTATTTCTAGTGGTCCTACCTAAAAAAAATCTTGGCGCCGCCACTACTCTTTTCCCCTATAAATATGACAACGTTTTTTACATCAAAGCTTTTACGGTTTTAAGTTTTTTGTTTTTCCATTTCCTACATTAAGTTTTAAATCAATTTCTTCGAGACTATAGCTTTTCCGAATTTTCAAAACTTAAAAAAAATCAGTCAAATATATTAGGTAGGTAGCTACTTGATTAAATAGATTTTCCTTATTTTTTTTCCTTAGGCCACTAGATTTCATTCATTTGACGAGTAATGAATGAGTCCCCAGTCTGCCTCTGGTACTATAATATTAGGTATAATTTATATAATTTATTAGGTAGGTACCAATCAATATTATACTAAAAAAATAAAAATAAAACTAATCAACAAATTAAACATTTTTTGAAAAAAAAAACAATCGAATTGCCGTATCTCACATGGTTTAATAGCTTCCTATTTCTAACGTTCAAACAACGGCTTTCTAAAAGATTCCGAAATTCTAGTATATTAAAGAAATGTACCTATATAGGTACTGATATTGTCACTTAAGTTTTTCAACCTATAACAACGTAATCATTGAATAAATTCTTATGTATGAACCTACCCTTGAAAATTTGCTCGTAATTAATAATAGTTCATTTTTTTTTTTTAAATTTGTGTTTTTCGCGATTTTGTTAATAAAATACTCCTCTAAGTAATCAATTTTATATTACATACATGTCCCCCATGTCTTTATATACAAAACGGGCGTGGTTAGATTTTGACGATACTCTACCGGGCGATGATGGTTATACGATACCTAACCCTCCGTGCAGTGAATTACGATCTCATCGCACATCTCCCGGTGAAATACACGCAGGTTCTGAGATCTTATACAGACCTGCATGGAAAGACAACGATTTTAAAATTTTGTAATTCTGTTTACTTGTTATAATATATATATAAAGACTGCAAATTAAATCTATATATATATATATATAAATGAATAGCACAGCTAGTGTAACGATTAAAACTTGCAGTGGGATAAAAATACAAGATCGAATAAAAGGAATATATAAGTATAATACACACATATAATATACGCGTATAAATATAAGGGGAAATATGATAATAATTATTTAGGTACTTGGCTATTCGATGACTGCGCGCGGACAGGAACTGTGCAACAGTTTGATGCAAGCAGTGTAGGCTGTAGGATAACGAAAAAAAAAAAAAAAAAGAAAGAAAGAAAGAAAGAGAGAACGGGAAAAACAATTTTCTTTTAAAAATATATATATCTAACAGGTTCTCTGTCACCGCCGGGTTACGTCGGGGAGACGAGGGGAGGTGGCTATGCTCCAGCCACGGAGGCTATGGCGGCGGCGGCCGGATCCCGGAAAAACTATTGATTTCCATTTTATTCAATAAAACGTTGCGCGACACCCTATCAAGTGCTGCCCCCTACAGTCTTATTGTTGCGCGGCCGATTCCTTCAACGTTAAATATTTTTCTTTTCGCAATTACAAGTATACACAAGACTTTTTTTTTTTTTTTTATTGTTATCTAGCGCGTATAACCTATCGATCGGTTTTTCTCTTATAGTCTAATTAAATAGAGAGGAAAAACACTCTAAACGATTTGTTTTTACAAATCGTAAAAACGACGGCATTTCAATTCATGTTAACAGGACTTTGATCAAAATTTTTCATCAACAAAGATTTATTGTTGCGTAAAGATGTAAATTTAATTTAATCTATTATATACGGTGTAAACAATTTTATGTTATAGTGATTTTCTCCTATAAATATACTAAATAGAGAATTGTGTATAACGAAACATTTTTATTAAATAGTGAAATATAAAATTATACGTGGGTTTGACATTTTTAGACGCCTTTTTTTTTAGGGGGGGGGGAGATTTAAGAGTCAACTTTTTAAATTGCAATGGAAACCTATATTCGAAATTCTATGAATAAATGGAGTATTTGTTCAAATAAATTTTGGTGTTGACATTTTTGATTTCCGTCAACAGGAGGAACACTATGCGATGGTGTGGTGGCACGGTAGGTGTGGCATGTGCGATGTTTGAATAGTGTTCTACTATTCTCCCTCAGTTTAAACTAAAAAGTGGAATATCTCGTCAACGGGTTGATACCCATTTATATATAGAATTGTGAATCTAGTTTGCCATTTAAATTTCAAAAATTGACCCCCAAATCCCCACCGGAAAGGCGTCTAAAAATGTCAAATCCACATATAGTTTTATACTACACTAATTAATAAAAACGTTTCACAATATATAAATTCTCTGTTTTGTACATTTGTTGGAGATAATTGGCGTAACGTAAAATTCTGTACACTCTGTAAATTAGGTGTGTCTATGTGTATACAAAACCTTCCTAACATTTTTTTATAAACTGCAGATGATGTTTCGTTTTTTTAATGATCTACCTATACGTAATATACCTAAATAAACCAATAAACAATAAAATAGTTTATAACATGTACGTTGTACCTATAGGTACGCATTAGTTAAGTATTTAATGGGTACACGCTATCCGAGTATATACACTCGTATAAGATAATATATTATACAACAGTCAGAAATCTGTTTTCAAAGTGTCATTATACATTACACCCATGCGAGTGAGAATCTATACGTCATGGTTACCTACCTATAGGCCATATACTACTATGTGTTAAGTATTTTGTGGTGAGATATACTGTGGTATAAAAGACTTTTGACGCTCATGCATATTTAAATGATTCTATTATAACATGTTTTGGGCGTATTTCATAGGTACACCGGCACGCGGTATGCGTGTATATTTTAAAAGCGCACCGTGTTAAAAATTTAAAATTATTCCATAAAAAAAGTAACTGTAAATAAGTAACTTGCAACGGTGAAATCTATTTATTTACGAAATCTGTGTGTTTTAACATTATCAAGTATAAACATGAAATCATTTTTGTTTCTTTTTTTTTTTTTTAATACTATTAGTTGATATCTGCTTCAAACAATTATACACCTAATGAGTTTATAAAATGTATCTTTCTCCATCGTTTGATTGCGAAAAATTTAGCGATATTAAAATATATTCGTGTAGTCGAAATTTATTCTATTATTAAATGGCGGGTTATATTATTTTTCCCATTTTTAGCCCGAACAAGCACCATTACGTTGGTAACGAAATGGTGAATGGTGATGACCATTCATTTTTATGCAAAATACAATACTCTATGCGAAATGTTATGGTAATACATATTATGTACAATATTAGGCATTTGATTTAGGCTGGATTATTAGTTCTCGGCTGATCATCGGTCGTGGCCGAGTGTTTAGTGCTTAAGTGACGACAAACTCGGGCGATCGTGTAATCGTGGTGTGCGTTATTTTGCTCGTTATAAGTACTTACTATGAATCCGTGTGTCGTAAATTCAATAATATGTGCGTATTATTTACTCTAACGATTGAAAAATAAAAGACTGAAAAGATATCACGTTCATCCAGTAATTTCAGACTGGCCAATCAAAGGAGAATTGTGTACACTGTTTTCGAAATTGGGAGAACACGAGTCAAAATTTTTTGGTTACTTTAGAATGTCTATCAAAAGTTTTAACGAACTGCTAGCAAAACTTCAAGATTCTTTGAAGCGTCAGTACACGTTTCGTGTTCCAATGTCACCAGCAGAGGATTGGCCGTGACTATTAGGTAAGTACCTATATGAGTACTTTTAAAATGGTATTGTTGTATATTTGTTAAAGCATTTTACCTTAATTTATGGCAAAACATTATTTTACAATTATCTACACAAAATGTGTTAGATTAGGTTTTATTAACATAAAATTAAAAAAAAAAAAAATTATATTTTAATATTTTTTATTTGTATTTTGTAGAGGAACATTAATAATTAAAGAAATGCATGTTATTATAAATCGTTTTAGTATTTTTGATTGAAATTCGGATTATTCTGTTGTGTATGAAGTAGCTATATCTGATAGTTGTGATTCCGACGTCGAATAATAAGAATGAGATGTTCCTTGGAGGTCTTCATTAGAGATATTACCGTTTGAAATTTCGATTGCTTTTTTTAGCACTTCAGAACGGAAAAGTAATTTTTGGTGATTAGAAAAAGTTTTCATAACCGGCAAAAGCGAACAAAAAAATGACATGTCATCGTTTTGCATAAGTTTTGTATTCTCTTTAAACATGTTTAACATTTCTCTTTCAAAATCTTTTTCTTCTTCGCGAATTCTCTTTCGCCTTGCTTGCGAAATGTTACGTTCAACAACAGCAGTTTGTAATGTTTGACAAGAGTTGGAGCCTTCGGACGTTGAAGGTAGAACTGAAGTTTGAACGTCGTCATTAGTTGCTGGTTCGATATTTATTAGAGATTTGTTTATTGTGTTCTGACTTTCTACAATAGAATCTTCAGTATTTACTAGATGTTTTTTGTCTAGAAACTGCATACAGTCATAATATACATATTTCTTTTTGTTTCCACCACCAGACCTAGATTTAGTGTTCTTTAATATAGCTTTGCACCTTACGTAAGCGTCCCGCGCGGTCTTCCACCGCTGTTGCACATGTCTTTCTGTAAAATAATTTAATTTGTTAATAATTTTTTTTCATATACCTTGCGACTGAACAAAGATATACTGATTTGTATTTTGTTTACCGTCTAGGTACGGCAACTATGGATGGAATCATAAATGAAGTGTGCATACACATATTTAGGAGTTACTCCATGAAGAATGTCTATCGTTGCCGAATACACAGGAAGGATGGCTTAAAACCGCAGCCGGTTTCAAGAATATAGCAAACTTACCTAACTGCGTTGGTATAGTATTGACGGAAAGCGCGTAAGGATAACTGTAGGACGTAAGGATCTGTCCTGAACATAACGGTGGTTTACTTTCAAATAATCAAAATATTATTCTATTGTTTTATTGGGCATGTGCGATTCAGACTATCGCTTCACCTATATAAGTAGGTGCACGTGGAACAGCTACAGACTAAAATATTTTTAAAAAAAGCCCATTGTTTTCCGAAATTCAATAACGAAGAAATAATATTACCTCCACAAAAACCACTATCTAATACTACAGAACCATTTCCATAATCGGCGATTCTGCATTCGGTATATCGAACAAAGTTTTAAGACCTTACGCACGAAGTAATCTGACAAAAAAAAAAATAAAAATAATATTTAACTATAAACTAATTCGTGCTAGGAGATATATTTAGTCTACATTTGGAATAATGAGTAATAAATTCAATATATTTCATAGACCAATGAATACACGTTTGCCGAATACAATAACTAGGACTGTTGATAAAGCATCATTATGAACTGAACTCCGCTCAGAATCGTTTTTTCGTAAGTAATGTTTATCGTTGCTTACAGGTATATATTAAATTACCTATAACAGTGGCTGCACTCGTCCTCCATTATCCTAGGACGTCTTTTTATAATTTGTTTTATTAAGTAAATACATTTTTATGTATATAATATACTAATATTAATATAAATATAAAAATTAAATTTAAAAATCATTTTAGGTGCATTTTATACTAAAATTGTTGGCATTTTTTTGTTATTTTAAATTCATTTTTTAGGTTTTTTAGTGCATTAAATTCTCAGTCCTAACAATAACATTCGTAAAGGCTTGTTGCGTTTTGTATAACTGCATAAGGGAACGGGATGGTTACAGAGAAGAGGACACGCTAACTGTTGTCGGGCTTCAAGATCTTAACCACAATGTGAACGGCAATATTATTAGATCAGGCGAAATGATAAGGCAGCGGTTCCCAAACTGTGCGGCGCGCCACCCAAAGGTCGCGCAAACACTTAAACAAGGGAGGCGCGGCGCGCGGTTTGAATTTTGTACATATAGCTATTTTTAGATCAATTATGTGTCCGATAACAATTTTATAGGAACGATTATCTTATCGTATCCATCCGATTCTTCACTGCGAATACAATTTTCTTCATATTCACTTTTAGGATTTTGGAACAGTATTAAATATGAATATCCTGAAGTTGGCAACAAAGCATTAAGTATATTGATACCATTCGCACATATTGTGCAAATGCTCGTATTCGTGTGAAGCAGGATTTTCAACAGTAGCCGTATTAAAATCAAAATATCGGTCCAGACTCAACGTGGAAATAGAAATGCGTGTTGCAGTAACTACGTTAATTCCTAATTTTCAAAAAAAATAATAAACGGAAAACAATTTTGCGTATTTTTCGCATTAATTATTTTGTATAAAATATAATATTAAGTGTAATGTCAACTAATAAATATTGAATAATTATGAACCCATTTTATTAAACATTCCTTGCGGGAGGCGTGAAAAAATAGTTTTATTATTAGGGAGCCTCGAATTAAAAAAGTTTGGGAACCGCCGTGATAAGGGATCAATTTGCCAACTATTTCGTTTCTCCGGTAGTAGTGTACCGTGACAAGATGATAGTATTTTTTAATTTTAATGTAATATACCTATATATCTTTCCACTCTAATATTACTATCTAATAATTGTGTCTAATATTAACGTATTTGTGATATTACTCTAAATAAACTTTAATAAACTCGTAAAATAAAACGACGCTGTACTCGCACACTTACCTATAACTTTTTTCTCGTTGTCAGAGACGTTGTCGTAATTTCGCGCTATTGCTTGACAAACTTCAAGCCAAGCTTTTATTTTGGCATCGCGGTCTTTATACAACGCACAGGACAGATCCCACAGCGGCGGACGGATGCGTACCTCAGAAATAACGCGCTCGGTGTCGATATTGTTCATTTCAGTGTTTTGCGTTTTGTACAATTTAGTGTAATACAATGAAAATCAAATTGTAACCGTTTTGTTGCGTAAAATACGCATCGTACATATTGCGGACGAATTGAAATTAGTCGCGTACGGTCCGGCCGGTCGGTCGGCGTCAAACTGAACGCCACCGTTTAGCCCCCGTGTAGTCCGTCGGTCGACCGACGGGGCGTACGCCCGGCGGACGCGTGACGGTACGCGCTGACCGCGCGCGCCGATTATCAGACGTCACCGCGCGTTCAGCGCTTAGCTGATGACGGCATGCAACGAGACGATATTGCAGTATAAAATTATCGTCGTACGTAAATACGCGTACCGCGGGTACGGTCGGCCGTTCCGCTCGGCGTCAAACTAAACGCCGGTGCTCTGCCGATATGGCCGGTCGGTGGACCGACGCGCGCGCGCGACGAACGGGCCCGACCGACGGTCCCCGTCAGCGCGACGTAGCTGTACGCGCGTACGAACTTGTCAGCGCGCTGCGCCGTGGTTGTTGTTCGTCGTTACCGTCGGCCGAGCACTAATTCCAGCCCAATAAACACGCGGGCGGGTATCCTAATGATATTGCGATACCACGTTTTTTTTTTTCAACCCGTGTATCACGCGCGGCTTTGTTTTTTTTTTCGGTGCGCGCACAGTTTTTTTTACGTGACCCGGCACTTATATTTGCACTGCTGCAAATCGAAATGTTCGTCCCGAACTTGACCGACCGATATGCTTTGAGTTCCCCGCCTCTTTTTTCGCCTACTCGCCCGACTTGTTTGTTTGTTTGGTCTGCAGGCGTACCTATGCGGTTCTATTATATTTCTATGCAATTTAGTTCAAATTTATCGGTACCCGATCTACTATATAACACGTTACTGCTGGCAGATGGCAGATCCCCGTCAATGTACAATTTTAGAACAAAATTTACAGGTTTTATTGTTAATTTATCGTGAACGGTTATAATTTTAAGTTTTAATTGTATCGGTACTGTTATTACTTTATTTGTTTATTTGGTACCCTATTCGTTAAAAAACCGGGCACGTAGGTGAGCCACTGTTTTAAGTGAGAAGTTGGAAAGGTATAGTGGATGGGAAATTGTATGTATGTCTGTAAGCTACGATAAACCATAGTTAACGAAAAAACAATTCTGAGCGGAGTTCAGTTAATAAGGTAGCTTTGTCAATATCATATATATTTCCTTTTAGAAAAAATGCTATCATTGTAAATCGGAGAAAAAGTGCTAGTAGAAAAGTTATGCACAGAAAAAAAAAAAGAAAACGTCCTAGGACAATGAAGATGGTTACTATTATAGGTAATTTAATGTATATCTGTAAGCAACGATAAACCATTACTAACGAAAATACGATTCTGAGTGCAATTCAGTTAACTGTGATGCTTTGTCAACAATATATATATGCCATTTTATAGTAAAATAATTAAATACCTTTTTTATATTTTCTTTAATAATATATGTTTAATGTTGTACCAATTTTCCCATGTTTTATCCCGATATTTTAAAATTTGATGAGAAAATGGAAAAATTACCTCTTTAAAGTACCTCGCTAGTGAAATTTTTACTTAGAAACATTGTTATCATTAAAAGTTGTAATGAAATTGCTGGTAGAAAAGTTGTCCACTAAAAAAATAGTATATTATATTTATTATAATTCGTAAATTATCCCGTTTTTTTTTTTCGGTTTTTCGCATTTGATAAAAAAAACTCTTGAGAAAATCGAAAAATGACCTCCCAAAAACCTACACGTCGATTTTCTTTCAAAAAAAAAAAATCTTTGTAAAACCATAAGCTTCTTTGCTCCACTCAGAATTTAAAAAAAGACCGTATTATTTTACCAATACATTTTGTACATTTTCCCGTTTTTCCTTAGTTTTTTTTCGGTTTTACATATTTGATGAGAATTTCTTTTTAAATAATTTAGGAAAACATAAAGAAAAAAACAGATAGAACGAAAAAATTTATGAAAATAATGCTTTTATTATTTTCAATTTTGTTTTTTTTTTTTGTTGTAATTCAGTTAAAAATATTCGTAGAGACTTGAAATTTTGAAATAAAACTCATATTTTCTTTTTTTAGAAGTGGTCAAATTTTTAAAACATTTTTGAGATATTTATAGATTTTTTAATTTTGTGACTGGTTTTTTTTTTTTTTTTGTAGTTTTAAAATCAAATTTTGATGAAATTCGTAAATATTACGGCCTTTCAAACATGTATGTATAACTGAACTTCGCTCTGAATTGTCTTTCGTTATCAATGATTTATCGTTGGTCGCAAGTATGAATTAAATAACTTTATGTACATTCCGTTTTCCCAACTACCCACCTATAGCAGTGGCCGCACTCGTCCCCAGTATTGGATCTCTTTTTTTTTTTCAAGTATACCGACAGCAGTAAGGGGTCTGTTTAACACAATACTTCACTCACTGCTGCCATCCTTTATTAAATTATGAATTAGCTTTACCGTGTGTACAATTTACGCCTTCCCTTGGGAGAAGGTTAATATAATCTCAAGTTACATAAATCAACCTTAGGAAGATGTGCGGACTGTCGTCCATCAACATCCCCTGACAAGCTTAACCTGGGCGGGGGCCCCGGCCTTTTCGCGACCCGGTTGGAACCCGCCGGTCTGAAGTCGCGTGTCACTTCGCGACCGGTGGCGCGGGCGCCAGATGGCCTGGATAATTACTTAATTACCTTACCTATTGCGAATTATTCACATTTATACTTATATGTATATAATAATATATAATCTATACACTATGGTCAATAGAAAAATGTCAACGTGATGTACTGACGTCCGATATACTCTTTTATAGTAACTAAGTTTCAGATTAAATATTCACGGGAAATAATGAATCCACAAATTAAATTCGCACCGGGGCACATTTATAACTCTTGTTTTACTGGACATATTTACAGTGTGCGACGATAATTTTCAACCTGTTAAAAATACAAATTCATTACAAATACACTATTAATATAATATCATAGAGAATGCGATATTTATGGTGCAGACTGTTTTTTTATTTTTTTTTCTCACCGTTTTCGTCGTTTTTAAATGTAAAATGTTAAATGAAAATGCCCGTCGCCCATAATTACCGCGGTGACGTAAGAAAACCGTAGAAAACAAATTGAAAATCGGTTCCGGTATTTCGGATATTTTTACGAACAAAACTTTTTCCATATTATAATATGCATACAAGACAAGTTATGGTAATATATAGGTAATACAGGTAGGTATATAATATATCGATCTGTCGAACGAACTATTATTATTATTATTATTATGACGTTTGTGCGGCAAGCGGAAAAGACGAACATTTCGGTAGCGACGATCGCGGCTAATATTATACGCGCTGTGCCATCTGTCCGACGGTAAAAGCGTTTTTTTTTTTTCGTTGTCGGGAATCTCCGCCGCCCGTACACCGAACGCGTCGACTATAATATGATTATTATTTTACGTATGCGCTATATGCTAAAGTGTGACAAAATCTAGTGAGTATAATATAACAGGACACGGTAAAAAATATGTATAATATAATATGCTCGGTGGCGTTAATAATATTACAAAAGAATCCGTTGAAATATAATATTATTGTTTTTGCGAAACTGAGAGAAATCACACGGCGTCGATAACGGTATATTATAATGGCGTGATTATCATTGTTGCTGAAACAAAGTCGTTTTATAGTACGAGTTCAAATTAAAAGGAATGGTGACGGTGTATAATGTATAGTATTAGTTCGATCCTAAAAGCCCGATAAAATTAGAAAATTGTGTTATTGATGGATTTTAATTCTGAAAACGGATTGTGATTCTTTTTAGATATTAAACTTAGGATATGTTAGAAAAAAAATGTAATTATTCTACTTGAAATCGTATATAAATTTGACTGTATTTTATTTTTACTTATAATAAAGAGAATTTGATTTAACAAAAAAAAAAAAAAACAATTCCAATATATCCTATCATCGCATACTAAAATACTTAAAAAATTACGTTACATTTTGAAAATTAAACATTGAATATTCCTACATGATTTACAGTTTTGTTTGCCTTTTCGGTGATCTTTGTACGTAAAAACAGTTGTACCTTTAATTGGACAACAGAATAATGGAAAAGTCGTATTGTAAAGGCGTTAGTTAAAAAAAAAAAAAAAAAACCGTTCAAATTTGAAAAACCTATCGTCAATTTCCTTAATTAACTTGAAAAAGGCGTTTCAATAATTGAGATAACATATAGATAGGTACAAATCAATGGTTGACTAGTATCGACGCAGTAAAACGAAAATTCTTAATAAACATTACTTTATATAAGTATACTGCTGTCATGTGATGTAAAAATATGAGAATATTATATTAGATATTAAAAAAGTATCACACTACTAATATTTCAGGGGTTGCGTATAGGCATCTTATACGACTCGTAATTATTCAAATTCACTTTCATGTAAGTTTGACAATTGTACCAAATCTTTACGAGAAATATTATGTATTATGTAAAAGTAAAATTTGTTCAAAAATATGTTGACGCGTGAAACAGAAAAAAAAATATTCTGTTAAAAGTGTATTTATTATGAAAATTAAAGACCATACCATTATCCATAAATAGGATATGACGTATTGATTTTCAATTTACTCGAATGAGACGGTATTTTAAGATTAAAAAGTCGTTATTTTTTACAATTATAATAAAACCCCCGTGAATTTTTTATAAAATAATACGTCATACTTTTAACTTAATAGGTATGCCATTCCCTATAGATAATGCCGGTGACCGGTCAACATATCTCCGTTCATAATATCTCCAGTAAAAAACTATCTTTAATACAAAATATCTCCTGTTAACCATATCTCTAATAGAAATATTACACAGGAAATAATAACGATAAATTACCATAATAGTACCCATTATATAGTTTTATCTGAAATATTTTTCACGATTACGAGTGAATTCGAGTTATACCCTACGAGTCAATTTCGAAAATAGAAATACACTTTCCTGCAGGCAATAATAACATAATAAACGGTTTTATCGACGTACTAATTGTATCGGTACAACCGTATCGACTACAATTGTTCAGTTCTAATTTCATATTTAGTTTGAACGGATGTAAGAATCAAAAATGCCTATAGAGTTTATTGTAAGCCAAAAAGCCAAATTTGTACTACTTTATAACGGGTACAATCATTCGTTTTACAAAAAAGGTGTGGGCAAATACATTTGACGTTGTATTGGGTACAAAAATACAAATGTACAACATGTTATACAACCAACCAACAAGAAATAGGTAATTGTTACGAGTACATCATTTCAAATTATTAGATAATTATCTATAATAA